GTTGTAGAGGGACTTCAGTCCTTTTGTTCATAGGGTCGCTATGAGTTGTGCTTGACTCAAAGGCAATCAACAACAATATAAACAAAAGCCCTGATAGCACAGTGTCTAACCAAACTTTTGTGCTCATTCCATATTGTCAGCCACTCCAGGAAAGAAAGATGATGAGGCAATCCAACTCCATTGAAACAATAGCCTTAAAATCTATGGGGTAGTTTTACTCAATTCTTACAAGTCACTATGAAACAGTTGACAGCAGTAGGCTTGATATATATTCAAACAATTGAATACAGTCAATAATAAAAAATGCTCACAAATATAATTATGGTTAAAAAGAAATTACAGAAGAATGAATTCAGTTTTATTCCATTTATAAAAATTCAAAACCAAATAATATATTAGTCAGGAATGTGTGTGTATTTTTATAGATATATGTAGATATATATATGTTGTTAAGTACTGTCAAGTCAGTATCAACTCATAGGTGACTCTCTAATGGGTTTTCAAAGGAAGTATTCCACAAGAGAGGACCTTGTCTGTCTTTCTCCCACAGAGCAGCTACTGGATTCAAACTGCATGCCCTTGGGTTGACAGCACAACTTCTTATCATTAAGAAGGTGTTAACTTTTACCACCATTGTCTCTCTCTCTCTCTCTATCTATCTATCTATAATGCAATGAATTAACATCAAGTCAGAATCAACCCATAACTGAGCCATATCTGCCTTTGGGTTGTCAGCACTATAGATAAAAATAGCAAAACTAGAAAGAAAAGGAATTAAAAGTAAAAATGCTTTGTCAGAGGGAAAAATAAAACAGGCAACAAACTCATTGCCCTTAAGTTTAATTGCAACTCATGTTGATTCTTCAAAAAGAGGGATGCAATTAAGAGGAACTTTAGTGAAGTTGAAAGCATTGCTAATTGTACCATTTGTTGAGTGGTTGGCACAAAGATGTTTCTTTTTTCTTTAAGCTACACATACATGATAATGAACTCTTACAAGGATGAAATACTGCATTCAGAATGGTAAGGAAATGAGGGGGTGGACTTGATGATACTTGATGGTACATGATACCAATACAACAGTCCCTTTTCTCAGAGTTAACTGAGAATACCAACACTACCTCCTGTGTGTGGACTCACCCACAGATTTTTCTTTCTTTCTTTCTCTGTCCAGATACATGGTCACAGGATCTCAGTACTCGTTTTATCATCTCACCATGCACTTCAGTGTTTTTTTAATAGTTAGGTAGAATACATGGCTCCTTTACCCTGGATTATGAAGAATTCTCATTTCATTGACTTTTATCTGTGCTGCACAATTCATAAAGTCAGTACTTGAAGTTTTTATTTTGAAATTTGTATAGTTTCAAGGTTTTGTGCATAATAAGCTAAGTTACACTTGGCTCTGCTCTTTCTAGTGATGAGAAATAGTCTCTTTCAGATTTGTCAACTCATTTTAAATGTTGTTGTTGTTGTT